TTTACGGATAACGGATCTAAAAGCGATCCCATAGGTGATTCTAAGCTTAGCAGCGAGGGCTTAGACAGCGATAAGAGTGACTCTAATGACGAATACCTTAATAATGAGGGCTAGCTACTACTAGAACATTACATAGCCGAAACTCTAAGGTTAGACGTCTCTTAGCTCCGACAAAAGAGATATAGTGACTGTACGCAGGAGAAACTTAATGAAACCACTATGTACTAGAATAGGTATGCTCTTTGCCAGCAAAGCGCATCTTCTTTGAATCTAACTAGTGGTCTCTTTTTAGATATTGCGAATATCTTAATCTGGATCCTTAGAAGCGTTAGCGATGGATCTTAGATTCTGACGAGATAGTCCGTTTCTTATATAGATTCTTTAGTTGGCGTTACGATATTCGTCGCGGGAAAAATGGCCGATATTACCCTAGTATTCGATACAAAAGTTCGCTTAAGTTATTCTGGAAATGGTGGCATCTCGTTCTTAAATAACAGACTAGGTCGGGATTGGCTAAGGAAGTAATTGTCAAAGTTTAAGATGTAAGAAATCATTATAATCTATCTGAGCTAGATGGGATGTAACACCTGCTAAGAGAGTTTTAGATTATTACACTTGTGGCTACGCAAAAAGGCCTTAAGCTAATACGGCGACCGAAGAAAAACATATACATTAAAGACGTCGCTAAGTTCGCACGCGTACTTCTAACTACTACCGAGATAACCTTTCTCTATGGCTGGCAGCGTATTTAAGTCCTATTTTACTGCTAGCTCGCCGCTATTACCGTAAGTCGCCCGGGTGCTCTTTTAGGGCTTCGGTACCGTGACCTTACGCTGACGTTGATCCGAGACCTAGAAGGAGGTCGCCCTAGACTTTTTATATTCCTCACTCTAGAATTCACTAAGAAGTTTCTTAGGAAGAAGGCACCGTGAGTATTCCTAACTCGACTTTGCTTGATACTTAATACTAATAGGCTAATGTGGGGAATAGGAATGAGTTTAAGATCCTAGAAATCATTTTTGATCTAACGCTAGTGCTTAGTCTATACGTTTGCTTGCTGAGCATACTCTTCTATATTAAAGGCTTTAAGATAAGGTCTCTGAATAGCCCGGTATTAGACGGCCCCGAAAATCTCTATCGCCTTCGGGTTCTAGAAGGTCTGGGACAGTAATAGCTGGTCTTGAAGGAGGAAATAAAGGATAAATTCGTATTTTGCTAGGTTACTCGGGATATCGCCGGATACCGTATCGTCTTAGATAAGCCGATGATATCTTCTATGATACGTTCCCGGATACGGCGTGTGGGCGAAATCACCGGCATAGAGCAAATCGTAAGACCGTATCTACTACGATATGCTAGAGCTAAGGCATTCAATAATAGTGGTATGTGTGATTAAGCCTTCTTAAAGACCTAATGACTAATAGTTTAAACAGAAGAGGTAACGGACGCTCTTTAGAACGTTATATTATAGCACTTAGATATTCGCATATCTGTCCGACACTATGAAGTAGATGTCGATATTGACGTTTAAGGCATTATGAGAAAAACTAGATCATAGATAGCCCTAGTACGATTTGCTTGTTCCCTGAGTGCGTCTATTGACCTAGATCGGCCCTATAAACTTTCATCCGAGGAATCTCGATTAATCACCGAGCTTCCGGAGGTTCGTGCAAAACAGGACAAAGTTAATGAACGGAAAAGGAAGTGGGAAGTCCGCTAAGCCTAATTTGAACTTACTAAGAACGAGTTTCGGAATTTCTGTAATCATCCGGGACAAAATTTGACCTCCGAGGATTATCACTATCTACGGAGGAAGCTAGAAGCCGCTTAAGAGAGGGTAGCGGAAGCTAACCGGAAGAAAAATAGAGCGATCCTCGAACTCCGTAGCGAGAAGCAACGCTAACGGAATCGGCGTGTTCGTGAGAACTTAGAGCGCTATAAGAATAAATAACCTATGATTGATCTCGAGCGTCAATTACGAGGAAAGATGGTGGATACGAAAGTCCTAGGAGCACTGGAAAACGCTGGATCCTCAAGTCCAGAGTTCATGAGAGTCATTGACACCATCTTGACTATGCTAGGTGCTACTATAGAGACTAAATATCAGCGTCGGATTGATGCAATCAACGTAGTGACCGCTTTCTGTGGCGTGGAAGAAGGTCGCCCTACACAGAGGCCCAACCAGTCCCGTCGCCGACAGGCTGTCGATGATCTTGAGTCGTGTCCTTCCTCCAAGCGACGTGAGACCCCAACAAGAGACAACGTTCAATCGATGCTCTAGAATGCGATGGATTCAGTGCGGATTAACTCTCCCGAAACAAGGCCTACGATATGTTTTCTGTGTGTTGGGAATCCCAATCTTCCGCTCGAGAAACGTATTGCGAAGCATGCGACACCCGGTTCACTCACACGACACTTTTTACGAAAGCATGTGGAAACTTCTTGGCCAACCGGGGGTATTCCGTGTAATGTCTGTGACAATAAGCGCCTCGAGCACAAATCGACACTTGTCAATCATGCAGAGAGAGCCCATGGTACAGTTGTCCGAGGCCACACCCAAGAGAGACTTGCAAGACAGTTGAATGCTGAGACATCTACCTAATATTTCTTTCTTTTTTCGCTTGGCTGGAGAATGAGAGGCGAGCATGAGCCCTTAAATTCAACGGCAAAACGAGCCCCAGTACTGTCACATAGAGCTACTATGTTTTCAATGAATCGTTCCCACCTTCCTGTTCGCTTGTTGTCTCAACCCTCTTAAAGCTGCCCAAGGGAACGAACAGTGGTTCCTTTGCAAGCAGATTAAATTGCAGCGCTAAAATGATTAAGTGTATGAACGAGGCTCGGTTAATTCTGGTATTATTAAGAGAGTTAATACTCCGACATTCAGCGGTCCATTTCGTATAAAGTGACGCCACTTGAGCAAAAACCATCATTGATAATCTGGATTGACTCTGATGTCCTTCAGAATGCTTAAAAACAATCCGGAGCAGTCTGGATCCCTCCGGGAGCAGTCTGGATCACTCCTGGAGCAGTCTGGATCATTTAAAGGGCAGCAGGGCCACTTTCAGACTAACATTTGTGTACCCCTTCTATGGTTTATTGTGCATCTACCTCCCGAGATGTTCAGTGGTTAGATTGTACTCCAACCCCCGCGTGTTTGTCCGGTTATTACAGAAAACTCTGTGCCTACTATATTGCATCACCTTAGGTCGGAAAACTCTGAGACTTGGTCGACCTCATTTCAGATACCCATACAGAGGATTTCGAAAACAGATTACCCCCCGGACACACACGCTTTCTTTCCCAGCGCCCCACTAATATTGCGCTAAGCTAATTGTGGCTAATTGAGGCCCCCTTCCCCGAAGTCTGACGCCAGATCACTGGAAGACGCGCGCAGCGCGCGCATCGGCCCTGAAACAATGCAAATGGGGGATTGAGAGGAGAGGGCAAAAAGGCGAATCTGTGAGAGTATAGATCGTGGCGACACTGTAGCTAAGCCACCCTCATCATGCACGTAGTTACGACGCGGGTATTCCGATAAAACATATGAAGAAGTGGGTGGTCGCCGAAGCGTATAATCCTTCGTAGTATAAAATAAAAGGAAGTTAAAGTATTATATTTCGATTAAACACGCATATTAACATAGGGCTTTGTTTCGTGATCTTTGGGAACGTCTCTCTGGTGTAGGAGTGTGAGGTCGTGATGGTGCTTTATCATCGTCAGCCGTGTCTGGCCAGGTTATTAGCGTTTCTTCGTCATCATCATTAATAGCGGTAGTTTCAGTAGGGTTGTGCGACTGGCGTATTGATGAGGTGGAATCATTTCTCAATATGCCTGGTGGTGTAGAGGGCGTGTGAGCGGCGGCTCTTTGGGACCAGCGGTCCTGGCGCTTCCGTTTACCAGTCGTTGGAGATGGGGTAGGCGGTAGGGATTGTGTTACGGATGGAAGGAAGTGTATATCGTCCGTTATTATAGCTAATTGGCGATTCTCCTTGGTGATGCCGAAGACCCTCCCAGTCAAAAAAATGTGGGTATTTGCGCTAAGCGGTGGAAGGTTCGCCCACCGCTGCCCGTTCTTGAAGTACGAGGTGATAGGGAAGGTGTGGTGACTTCGTGACGAACTATTGTAGGTTGTGGACTGGAGACGGTACATAGTGTAATAGAGTTGAACCGCTATTTAGTTGACCACCGCGCTCAAGAACCACAGCGAGTAGGGTTACGGTAGGCTGAGCCGCTTCGGGGCCGTGCATAAAATATGAATCTGTATCGTCTTGGTTACCCGGGTGGCTATACTACGTTAGGTTTCTTTCTTATAACGGTTGCGAAGGTTACTGACCGGTCAACGCTGTTGGCGTGAAGAAGAATATGAAAACTCTCTCCATCAGAGGAGGCAGTAAGGAAAGAACCCCATGCATAGATAAAGGCGTTCGGTTGGTAAAGGTCAGGCCGATTCCCCTCATCAAAGAACCTAATTAGAGTGGGAATGTCACTCTGCTCAACATCGTCGGATTGCACATCTGTGTCTGGTATATTAAGTGAAACACGAAGCTGTAAGGAAAGCCCTTTACCAGGGCGTGTTGGATCTGGTTCCACATGATCTATGAAATCTCGAATGTGAAGGATAGCTGGGAAAGACTTATTCGATGGCATGCTGAGAGTAGGCGTAGGTTGGTGAACGGCATAAGATTGTGGAGGAATAGAAACGGCGTATAAACGAATAAATAAAGCGTGAAGCCGAATGACGGAGGAAAATCTCAGAAATTACGTACATCAGGCTGGAAAAGTAGATAGTGGGATTAGGCACCGATGGTCTTTTCAACGCATGTTAAGATATACTACAGTACCGCAGATGTAGAGTAGAATATGATAAGTCAGAAAGTTCTCCCATTGCTGCCCTAAGGACGAAGTTGTGTATAGGACACAAGGTTTCCACTAAGCCGGATTTATTCAGTTACAGACGCAAGCAAGACGTGGAGAGAGATGATTGGATATGTAGTGACCTATCCGAAGTTTACTGTTCGCCATGCAGTAAGAGTGTCAAGCTGGAGTGCTTGTAATCTCTGCATTTCGTGGAGTAACTGAGGATCAGGCCCGTGCTGGAGGTCGCGCATCTCAACTGGTTGTAGAAGACGAAGGCCAGCCAGCGAGCGTAGGCGTGATAGTTGTACATATGTGGAGCAATATTTCCGGTGCGAGTCTTGTCGTCGACTTTTCGGATTATCCTTAAGATCCAAAATCGCGGACGTCAGAGTAGCACCTTGGACCTTGTAGTCTGTGAGACAAAAGGCCGGGCAAATGGGAACCTGCTTCCGGCGCACTGAATACCCTTTCACCGTTATAGACGTCTCGAGTGGGAAAATCGGGAAGACATTTCTGTCTAGGGGATGAATTGAAACTGATCTAGGTCGGTTTGGTTTGAACAGAAGACAGGCTGGAGGTTTGGTGCAGAAGATATATAAGTCATCGAGCTCATGGAAGCTGGCTATTCATGATCAGTTAGTTTCTTGGAGACTGAAAGAGGTGATATAAATTGTGAGTGGCTTACCCTCTGGATCAACCACAACCCCCACTGCCTCTCCGGTTGCACCATTAACCAATCCTGCAGGTGTGCATATATTGGTCAAAACCATCGTCGGCATTAAAAGCGTGTAGAGGAAGAGCCCTGGAGTTGGGACTTTAGCGCCCTGTTCAGGAAGCCCGAGTAGGTCATCCGCATAAAGGGGTGGGTCGATAGGCGCGGATGACCTTGTGCGGGTGTGGAGAGCAGGGAAAATGATGATTTTCTGATCTTTTGCACGGGCGAAGCGCTCCACCTGGATACGATTGATGACGTGTCGAAGGGCGTTCAGTTTAACGATAGCTGTTGTGGCTTGTAGATGAGGATCAGCGATGGAACTGATGGCCGCTGAGTTTAAGGTCAACATATCGTCGTACGTAAGTGTGGCATTCCTCGCCCGAGTTAGCAGATTTCGATATGGTAAGTCCTCTGCTTGACGCATCTGTTCATCGAGAATGATGACTTGCTTGAATTGGTTCCAGATAATTTTCCCATCCTCGTCTGTTTCATTCCTCGGAAGCTTCCACAAGGCCTGGCCCTGGACTGGAGGAAATTGGCAGAAATCGCCCATTAAAATGACTATAGGTAAACCACCAAAGAGATCCGGAGATGATCTACTAAGGGATCGTGCGATCTTGCAGTGGGTGTTGATGATACTGAGCGCGGAGAGGTCCACCATACTGATCTCATCTATAATCATAATGGATTTACGACACCATAACCTTCGAACTCTTGGCCCAACTCCTGTTCGTCGATGATGGTTTAGAGAAATGCCAAGAGATGTATGGTAGGTGCTCCCCCCAATGACATCAGCAGCGGCCCCTGTTGGGGCCATCAGGATGACTTCGTCTTTGCGGTGGAGTAGGTCCATAGCGGCGTTAATCGCTTTGATTATCTGACTTTTGCCCACACCACCTTCACCTCCGACGTATAGGAGCGTTTGTTTCTGCGGTGAAGGGTCCTGCGGAGAGTTGACGGTGCTGAGCACTTCCGAAATGATTTTCTCCACGACGATACCTTGTTTCTCATTCAGGGGAATGATCTCACGCACGAGTGACGTTATTATACCGCCGGTGGGATGAGGTCCCAGGCGAGAACGGAGATGTAGTAAGTCGGGGAGTGGGTCGGAGTCGGTAAGCACGGGCACCAAGACGTCGTCCACGACCTCGACATTGAAGTCATCAAGATCTTGCGCGGTGGCGGTTGACGATTCGGCATATGAATCTGGGTCTACGAGACTGGAAAAGTTCTTAATGTGCAGTTGCCATTCTTGTAGAGTGGATGCAGGAAAGAACTTAAGGCCGGAGGATTCATATAGCATACTATTGGAAGTATGAAGAGGTCGGAGATTCCGAGCTTCAAGGGACGGAGGGAGAAAAGGAGCCGAGGCGAGAGAAGCGATATTGCGCTGCGCGTCTTGCGCCTCGTTTGTTCAGCGCTGACTTATCGCAAAAAAGGCCGCTATGAGTGTTTCGCTGCTCAAAGAATTGTCCGCGGTTCGCGGTAGATCCGGATTCTCATTTTCGGAGTCTGACGCAGAGTAAGGAGGATTACCCAGATCTTGGTCAACAGGGGACGTGTGTTGAGTGGAACGACTTCGCAGCAGAGCATCAGCTTGGCAGTCGCTCTTGGATTTTCTCAAGAGTTCGATGTTTCGTGCGAAGGTACGAATGAATGCTGGGAGTGTTGGTTCTACAGACAACCAGACGTTATGCAGAACGTCGTGAAAATTTTCGGATGTTGAAGAAGGAACTTGAGCAAGTGAGGGTATATCCTGCCAAGGAATGAATAGTCCCAGAAGAATCTCAGCCACGTCATTCTGAATTGCAGTGGTTATGGGGTGGCCACCTGGTACGGAATCCTCGGCGGTCTGGAATCCGGATAGCTCGCCTTGCAAGGTCACCGTGGCCGACTGAGACGGAGATTGAGCGAGTCTCTGTATATGTGTACGGTACCTCGGATGTGCCTCATGGAAGGATATATCCTCTGTGGTCGCATCTTGGAGTCTTTTGGTGCGTACTATCATACAGTATTCGAAAATGGACAGAGATGATAGGAGATTACCGCGCCACCTGTAGTTATCGAAGATATTCGCTGGTGCAGCTACCCCGCGATCATAGCTACACGGCTCCTCTCTAATCGTGTCAGACGGCAAAGAGTCCCGGGGGTGTTCTAGCGGGACCATTGAGCGAACATATCGCCTGAGCCACCAGAGATTAATGCGTGTGAAATTGTAGTTGAGCGTGTAGTATGAGGGAAGTTGGAGCAACGTGCTCGCCACCTGCACACCGCTAATCTCGCGGTCTTGTGACAGACTGTTGAAGCATCGAAGGGCAAATTTGTCCATACCTCTTTGTCGAAGCCGTATATCCGCGGTAGTAGGAGCAGGTGTGAAGGTTGCACGATCAATCATTTGTTTCAGTAAAGCGGCCTTAGCCACCACCTGCCACGGCGAAATGTCATCTTTCGTGGCATAGTTAGTGATGTAGTACAAAAGAGATAGAGATTTTGATACTGTTGGAATCCAGGAGATGTCATGATTTGATCGGATGCAGCTAGCAATCGTGGGGTTCCAGGGATTGACCCATCCATGGTTGCGGGCAAGGTGGATGATACCGTGCTCGTCGATTTTGGATGCGTCGATAAGATCGCGGGGCATGCCAAAGCGACAGGTAATATGCATTGAACCATGGGGGCGGTATTTGAAACAGGTTGCTGTGTGGCGTTTAGCGTGAAGTTGTTTAGTGCGAGCAATATGGTTGGCATCATGGAAAAGATTCTGCACAAATTCGGTGTCTGACTCCGGGCCAGTTGATGGAGGAGGCGTGTTTGGGAGGGTTCCTTCAAGGTCGCCAAGCAACACCTCGCGGTAGACCCAGTCGGCGTCGATAAAATAGCCAGTGATAGCCATAAACGCCTGCCCAAACGGGGATGTCCAACAGTCCAACGCAACCGAGATCTTCGCATGCTCTGGTAGCAAGCCGAGTGTATCCCGCTGTTGTTCTTTGACACGAACAGACAGCCGACGTCGAATTGTATCAGCCGATTGTATGATTGGAAGGCTTGGAGTTGGGGCGGACTGCGAGTGCGAGATCAAGTCACGGAAGGTTGGATGTTTAACGAGATTAAACGGAAGGCGGTTAATGGTGATAAACTGTAAGAGTTTATCCTCCCAGGCCTCTTGCGAGAACGGTCGATCGGCTGGATGACTCTGCTTCGATAGAAATAACTAGTTAGCTTTTTCAAAGAATGATAACATACCGAGTGCAGAAATCCCTTTAATCCCCCCCTTTGTTGCCGTACTCTAGTGGCCTTTTGGTAGGTTAAGGTCTGAAGATGACGGGTAATAGTCGTCGTGCCATGACGACCAACCCTCCCATTGGCATCCTTCTTTGTAGCATAAGGGTGCTCAAGAATTGCATCGCAACGCTTGCACATAACCTTCGGGCTCCCAGTGCCCGTATGCGCTACTTGCTCAAATTGTTTCTAGGTCTCCGAAGCGGAACCATGCTGTGACTCCCAAGTGATCTTGTTGTTTGATCTATAGTTAGTCTCTAACCACCAATCGACCCAATCGCTGTGATTCATCCCGCTATATAGAAAAAACTTGCCTCTCCTACTAGGGCCCACTCGTTGGAAGCGTTCGAGGGGATCTGGGGCGACAGACGAAGGAACAGACGGCTGAATGAACGAGAAGCTGTTAACCTGCCAAGAGGTAGACGGGGTAGCTGGGCAGTTGGAAGGGGTAATAAACGATAAGTCGTCGGGCTCGGAGTCGAATAGACTTAACTGAGACGATCTAAGCTCGCTTTGCTGGCTTTTTAATATGGTCAGTGATGGTTAATTAACAATGAATTCGAACTTCAAAGTGGTATAGTAGGAAAGGTTCAAGTGAATTAGGGTGATGAAGGAAGAATTGGACACGACTTACCTTCTTAGGGAGAGAACTGTCGACACGGCAAACAGAGCATATAAACAAAGGATCATTATAGTACTGGTCGAGATTTAAACGGATGATCGCGATGCTAGTATCTCATTGGCTATATGGTGCATATTAAGTGGACTCGGCCCATTCAAAGCCTATAGATAGCCTAAGAATAGCCTATCTCCCCGCCTAATTACCAATTTGTCCACCCAAAAGATTTCACCCCTATAGCTTATGGTATTTTTTTGAACCTCCATCCCCTCTGGAGTCGTCAAGTTATTACTTAAATATGAACGTAGGTTAAATGAGCGAGAATTAGCTATCTTTTAGTATAAAAATCAACCATATAAACCCACGACCGAGAAAGTAGCGATTGAATTTACACTTCGCTTGAAAGATGCACTTACTTCAGTTAACGTGAAATATATTTTTCTGCATGTTGACACTCCATAATTCTCTAATTGCCAGAATACTACCAAATCATCGTAATCTTGGACTTTTTTCTAGCAATGTCTATAAAAACTGGTGTATACTATAGCTAGTTTTATCCATAACCTTCATTACCGGACGTTGGCCACTGAATCTTGAGATCTTGATTCTTGAAGTAGTTGAACCCCCGGATTAAGGAGTTGAACCCCCGTATTGGGTTTAGTGGACTGTCGGGCCGAGATCTCGGCTTACAGACTAAAACGTGCGTAAAAACAGGCACTAATCATAATATTTGTGAGCGACAAGACAATAGTTATGCATAGAATTGGGCTTTATTGGGGGCCCATTTGTGGGCTTTGCGGAAGTCTACCTAGACTAGACTACTATAGGGCTCGCCGCTATCCCCGATCTTATTCCTCTTCTTTAATGTAGACCTCGTTTAACGACAGATCGACAGCCAGGGAGGGGCAATCGCGTTCGTGGACGATTTTACGGTATAGGTGACCGGACCGACTGCCTAGGGTAATCGGGAAGGTATCAAAGCAATTATCGCCGAAGCGCTCGACTAGAAGAAAAGAAGCGGAGCGACTTTTAAGGTAGATAAAACCGCCATACTTCGCTCCTAAGGCTCACAAAACCGATTAGGAGCCGTTTACTATTAAGGGACAGACTATTATACCTAGGGACTATATTAAGATATTAGGCGTCCTTATAGACACGAGGCTTAAGTATAAGGAGCATATCGCGAGGGCAGCGTCGAAAGGCCTAGAGGCAGCGATGGAGCTTCGGCGACTTCGCGGCCTATCGCCAGTAACTACACGATAGCTATTTACATCGACGGTGGCTCCGGTGGTAGACTACGCCTCGAGCGTCTAGATGCACGCTTATAAGGATAAGGCCAGCGGGCCGATCAATCGAGTTTAAAGGGTAGGGGCGTATGCAATTATAGGGACATTTCTTATAGTTACGACTAGCGTCACGGAGGCAGAGGCTTATATTACCGCTGCATAACATCGGTTTTAGAGACGGGCCGTGAAAATGTGGACGGATATTCATACCCTCCCAGAAACCTATCCACTACGGAGGAGCACAGCCTATATAAAGTGACGGAAAATTCAGATCATCTGACCATCTAGGTTGGCCAAAAATGCACTATAGGCTGCATCTTTAGCTTTCCTAGTTATAGAAGGTCTCTGCCAGAATCTCCGAATATTACGAGCTTATTTATATGCTGACATAAAGAAATTCAGGAGATACCACCGCTCGCCGCTATACTAGGTAACGGACGCACTGAAAAACATTGAGATGGAGATACTAGAAACTATCAATCCGTTTATATTAGCACCGTAGGAGACTCGCATACAGACCGATATTATCGTAAAGCCGGACCTATACACTGTACCTAGGGGGTTAATACAGATTGCAGTCAGTAGCTCAGCACGGAACGGCCTCGTAGGTTTTGGGGTGGCGATTAAGAAGCAGCCGCCTCGGTATCGAAAGTTAAAACTGAAGATCTTTTCCGTGACACTAGGCGCAAGATCAGAGCAAAATCCATTTTCCGCGGAGCTAGCAGCAATGGTATACGTTTTGAATTTGCTTATAGGACTGAAAGACTATAGGATAATGCTACTCACAAGCAACAAAGCGGCCGCCCTTACGATAGGGAATCCTCGGCCAAATTTATAAGTTGATAAAAAGACTGCAGAGAAACGGAAACCATATCAACATTTGGTGGGTCCTAACCAGCGAAGATAATAAACTTCTAGGCCTAGCCAAGGAGCAGGCCAGGAATGCGACCCAGAAGGATGCCGTCCCGTAAGAATCGGTCCCTAGTATGAAGTCGATAACGTTAAATCTCGCTCGGTCCTAAGCAGCTACGATTAATGACTTACCAGAGAATGTAGGGAAATACGTGAAATGAGTAGATACGACACTACCAGGAAAGCACACTCGATAGTTATATGATCGATTATCGTAGAAGGAAGCGAGCGTACTAGCCCAGCTCCGGACTGGCATAGCCAGGCTTAATGGCTATCTCTACCGGATTAACGTTACAGACACTGACCAGTGTATATGTGGACAAGCAAGAGAAACCGTGGAACACTTCCTCTTTCGATGTCGGAAGTGGACCATACAACGAATAGCACTACTGCAATGTAGCCAAACTCACCGGGGCAATCTCTCCTTCTTCCTGGGCGGGAAATCACCCTCTGAATCAGCAATGGACACCGAATATGGAAGCGGTGCGAGCCTCAAGGCTTCAAACCCCTTCATGGCACACATTCGGGTGCAAACCTAAGTACTGTTCTTATGAGGACGCTCACTGAGCACGGAATTGTGGATCGAGTCTTTGGATTGACCACTGACAACGCGTCAAATAATAAGACACTGGTTGATACGCTTCAACAGACTTTGTCTGGCGATGTCAATGTTATCCGAGTCCCCTGTCTTGCCCATGTGATCCAATTAAGTTTGAACCAATTGCTTGATCGCTTGAAAGCTGTCCCACTGAATGATGCGACTGAGACCACATGGACAGACCGCCAAGTCAACCTCGCCAAAGCGAATGCACAATCAAAGGAGATATCGTATATCTTAAATAAGGTACGGTATCTTGCTATCTACATCCGCGGCAGTCCGCAGCGTCGGGAGTTATTCACTGCTGTCTAACCCCTAGGGCAAGGGCTTATGCCGATCTAGGATGTTAGAACTCGATGGAATTCAACGTTCCTGATGCTACGCCGGGTAAAGAGACTCCGCTTTTTCATCATGAAGTTCTGTGATCAGTTCAATTGCGAAGACCTCGCACTTGGCGATGATCAATGGCGCTAGATTGACTACCTCCTTTGTCTCATAAAGCTATTCTTTGATTATACCCTTGCCCTTTCAAAGACTCGAGACGTGACACCACATCTTGTCTTCTAGATCTACAACTTGCTATTTAAGCATCTTGAGAGATTAAAGATACAGTTATAACGTAAATGTGTCGTTTGGAAGAAACAGATGCTTACCTCCCTCGAAGCAAGCTATGCAAAGCTATCTTGAGTACTACGAGCAGACGGACTATATGATCTATGCGGTTTGTACTATGCTATCGCCGGATAGTAGGTTCTAGTTCTTTCTTTCTGATAACTGGGCCGATGCTAAAGAACTCCGTGATTAGTATCGAGTGGCTTTCTAATATACCCTTACTCCTATCTAGGAACGTCTTAGTAGTGCTAATGCCTAAGGCCCGTAAGGGTCTTCCTCCGGATCGACACTAAGATCATTCCTTCATAACCTGGTTCGAAGCCAGAAGTCTCACTCTAAAGTGACGCTAGGCCCAGCTATAGATGAGCTAACGCAGTATCTTGACGGCAGTAAGTTAACCCTTCTTAAATTTATAGCCATCCCTATTTTTATCACTATGTTTATCCCTATAGCTATCTCTATATTTCACTCGATACTAATTTCATATAGATGTGACTGATTCGGAGCCGCTCTCCTTTTGGAGAGAGAATCAATCCCGTTTTCTAGCTATTGCTACACTTGTAAGGCATGTTCTTGTAATTCCAGCAACTGGTTCTGGCGTGGAACGACTATTCAACACTGCGCGCGATATCTGCCACTATCGCCGCGGTCGTATAAAGTCTGAGACTATTGAGGAGCTGATGCTATACCTCTGTACATCAAGGTTTGAGCTTGAAATGCAGGAAGCTAAGGATCTTGAAGAATTCTTCTCTTCTAATGAAATCTAGGCACCGAGGGAAGAAAAGAATGAGTACCCAGATAATGTCGACGTCGAAGCCGAAGAGATTAGTGACACTGAAGAGCAGGGTGATGAGTCTGGTTCTAGTGATCTGATAGATGCTGACGATGACGGTGCTACTATCACTGCTGCACCGTCTTAGGTGCGGACATCAGGAAGGAAGAGGAAGCATGTTGATGACGAACTGTATGAACGTTATTAGATTAGCGTGTAGCTAATTTAACCTCACCTAATATCTAATCGACCGATCTCATCAGTCAATCTCATTAATCAATCTCATCAATCAATCTCATCAATCAATCTCATCAATCAATCTCATCAATCAATCTCATCAATCAATCTCATCAGTCAATCAGTTAATTCTCATGAGAACTCAGTCAATTACTGGCCTGAGACGCTAATTTGAATACTCAAAAATACTAGAAAATTCTGCATTACTTATGCAAATGCCAAGAATCGGCATGTTTGTACTCGGCATGTTTGTACTGTTTGGGCCCGGCCTCGGGCCCAAAACCCAACCCATTTGCGGGCTGGGCCCAGGTTGGGCTTTGGGCTTTGTGGGCTCTGCGGAAGTCTAAGTCTAGGGCAGGCTTTGGACCTTAGATAATTGTCTACTAATTTAAATAGTCGCTATTCGTTCCGAGCAGAATACTTCGACCCACCGGAGTAGATCCTCCGGTATAGGCTTTGTATATGCAGGCAAAGGATATTACCTACAGATAACTGACTTCAGAGGAAATTGAATCGGGTAATACTTGCAGGCTGCGTGCTCGATACCCCGCACTTGTGAGGGGATTCAGCCTCGTGGTAACCTGAGCTGACCACCGTCGACAAACGACTCAGAGTCCACTCTCATCTTATTTACCTCTCCGTCGAAGGCAGATTACGATGGCTAATCAGAGAAGTCGCACGTTTTTCGAGTGACAGGCCTGTTGAGGGAACGGCCCGATGGGGACCTCAAGCTCGCATTGCAAGAGGTACTGGGCGACAGCTTCACCGACGATGAGAGATCGCGTATCAAGGCCGAGATCGCAATCGTGCCGTCATGCTATGAAAGCGACACGCAGAGAGTGGCGCTGGTGCAATTTCGCGGCGGGGTGCCTCAGTTCCTTGGTGAGCTAACAGTCAACTCGCTTGACAACTGGCAGGTCGAGATGGGAGAGAATGACATCAACTTTGACTGTCACTTCTTTGGGTTCACGCAGCTCTATGCGCCAGACGAGAATGAGTCAGTGGGTGCCGAGTAAGAACCTGTGTTGTGATCTACTTCTAGAAAATTGATCCTAACTCATGCAATCCAGCATCATTGCGATCGCCGGATTGGAGGGACATGCGTATGGATCTGGCAGGGACGAGGAAAAATCTGGGTCGGATGTGGCTCCAGGACTTCCTATCAAAAAGGATCTTCCGCAGTGCCGCACGATGATCTACGGGTACAACTCCATACGGTCGAGCCGCGGAGTCGATACGATCCTCGAATACGGCCGGGAGCTAATGGAGGAGATCAAGAAGATTCAGAACACGAAGAAGGCAGGAGCCGTCTTCCGACTGATCTGCTGGTGGTAAGTTTGGCTGATTCAGTGACCAGCTCCAGCAGAGACCTCTGATATTCATCGCACACAGCTTCGGAGGCATTAACTTGGTCATGTAGGATCGCCGTCCGATTACAGAAATTGGTTATGATACGCTGACATCGCCTGACAGTGCCTCATGAGGGCCATCCAGACGAGGGGTGAAGACCACCCGGTAACCACGTCGCTGTATCCAGCGACATATGGCATGATGCTCTTTGCTATCCCACACAAAGCATTAGTGATGGATGACATCCAGCAGATGTTGGCCGGCAATGGACGCCAGCCGCGAGGACAGCTGCTGTAGCAGATCCCAGGTCAATCGGATTTACTGATCCATCAACTGGCCGATTTTAAAAATCTGATTCGAGATCGTAAGGTGGTCAACAAATACACGTAGGCAACTAGTTGACCAGATGCGAAGATGGTATGAACGGAGTGTTAATCCTGATCAACTACAAACAAAGTACAGTAGATTTCGAAAACAGATTACCCCCCGCACACAGACGTTGACTCTCCCCGAGACCCACTTTAGCGCCTAGTCCGGATCGCCCGGGTTCTAGATTCTCCTGCAGCCAATGCCCTGAAACGAACGAAGTGAGAGTAAGGGTTCTAATCAACATGGGTGTACGTGTGCGAGCCACGAAAAAGTGCTCGTTCGACTGCGTATGGCGCGTTCTGCCACGCTCTGTGCTTATTCGTCTATTTACTTTCCTTTTCGAGTCTGGCGTACTAGGGCTTTAGGGTTCAACATCTATATCTGCAATGCATATGCACGTTTCTTCTACGTGATTGCTTCGCCTGCTGCTCTCGAACTCTACTGTATTGTGACGCTCTGTTGCTTGTTGCCACTCTACAGTTGTGCCCCTCGACCGTTCTTCTTCTGCTTTCCTATCCTACGCTTCCATGTGTAGTGCCCCTCCGTAATGTCTGCTCGCCGGGCTTGCGTTGATTGCTGTCGCCAGGTGCGTTTGCCAACAAGTATGCAGCCTCCACGGTGCATTGCCTGCCGCTTGGCTGGTTTATCTGCTCTAATTGATACCCGGCCCTGCTCGCGCTGCCAGGTTCTAATCCCCGCGAACTCGTCCGATCCTTGCTGCCGGGATTGCCAAGCTAGACGGCCTTCGGATATTTCTTGTCGCGACTGTGGGAACCCTTTTCCGGCTACATGTCGCCTGATTCGTTGTCCCGATTGCAGGTCAAGAAGAACGGCTGCTTTACGTGCGCGTGTTGCTCCTGTCCGCTCCCAAATAACTCGCTTCGACCCCTTTATTAATTCGTTTAACCAACCAAGTCGCCCTGGCCGAGGTCGTCCTAAGGCTCGTTCGCAGTTCAGTGCTCCTAGGCATCTATCTCTACTGCCTACGCGTCCACAGCCTACACAGTCAGACAATGTATCCTTCCTTGACCGCGCAGTTGGGTTCCTGCGTCAAGAACATGAATCTCGTGTTCATGCTTCACAAATATTCCCACCCCAGGTTTCCGAATCCCACATCCGGCTCTCTGTGGCTCGTTTTGAGACCATCATGGGTCTAGCACGGCAGGATCTCCCCTGCGCTTCGTGCGGCAGACTGATCCCTAGCACTGACGCACGTCAAGTTATAGAGGGTGATTCCTTACTGAAGCCATTAGAAGGCCTTCTTGATTGCTGTGGTTACAAGGACGGCTTCTGCACTCTCTGCTCTGCATGTTATGCCGCGCTCCTTCGAGGATCAGTTCCAAGATTCTCCGCCAAGAACAATATAAACGTCACTCTTTGCCAACACTACCCCGATGCCCTCAAAGACCTTTCTCTGACCGAGGAATCTCTCATCGCTGCGTCGCACCCTGTTGGGGTGGTCGTGAAACTTCGACCAGGTGGTCAAACGTCGCCATCCACCTACCGTGCCTTGCGCGGCCATTTCATTATCATACCGCAAGACCCAAAACCTGTCCTTCGAATATTACCAAGTCCTAGCCTGGAACTCACTGAGGTTATTAAAGTCTTCTGGCTGGGCAACCGACCCCCGACTGACGATGATCTGCGCCCATTCTTGATTGTTCGTAAGCACAGGGTGCTTACTGCTCTCCAACACCTTGTGCAGTCTAATCCTTTGTATGGTGATGTAACAAACAATCATTCAACATTAGATCAGTGGCCGGATGATTTTATACCTTCTGACCTTTAACAGCAAGTTATCTGTTTCATCTAAACAGATCACCATGAACGGGCCGGCTACAGTGTCAATTTACAAGAAGGTAACTATGAAAATGAGTGGCAAGCCGCAGAGGGCAACAATGACCAATTTTCCGAGGATGCTCTTCCAGTCACTGGTTCTGTTACCACTGACATAAACGGAGAACGCCAGAATCCTGACGTACGCTTACTGAACATAGTGTATACCCTTGTTAAGGATTCAGTGCCCGAGGTACGGTCGCAATATACTGCCACTACGCGCATAGACCACACAGATCCAATATCTAGGTCTCCGCATTATTCCCCTGTGGTTGAATATGGTATTCGGGGCCAGCCAACACTTCTAAATCACTGGCAGGACCCTCATTATTTTACATCTGCCTTCCCTACGCTGTTCCCCGGCGGTATAGGAGGCCATCTGGATCACCGTACTCTACCTGTTTCACTCGTTGCTTTTGCTAACTGGGCAATCCGCCATCATAGCCGAAGGTACGTATGTCTCTCACGGACTGCGCGAATCGTTTGCTGATTTGCCTAGATTTGCCCGCCACAGGACGTTCATGTATTTATTATATGACGTGATACAGTTGCGGAATTCATCTCTCGGTAATTCACTCCTCATCAAACGGTCTCAGTGGGACTCCGTGACCCGAGATCTGAATTCGCTCAATGTTGATCGCCTGAAAAAGGCATCCGAAGAGCTTGCCGCAAATCAAATCACTGCCGATCCGCTAGTCCGACGGCTTCTCAAGAATATAACCGCTATCGGGGTTCAAGTACCAGGATCCTTCTTCCAAAAGCTACAGCTGCGGGCCGAACTCCGAGGGCTTCTTGTTCGGGAAGGAATGCCTGCGTTCTGGTTAACCCTTAACCCGTCGGATCTCCAAAATCCACTAGTTCTGGTTCTCGCTGGTGTACAATGTTCCACTGAACGCTCTGCTAATGTGGCATCGACCATTCGACAAGCAACAGCGACGTCTGACCCTGCCGCTGTCGCGAGATTCTTTCATTACACGTGTAAGGCGGTCCTAGACGGCCTCCTTGGTAGCAAACCTAACGACATCGGAATCCTCGGTGACGTGTCTAATTACTTTGGTGTAGTGGAAACTAATGGACGTGGCATGTTACATCTACACGCATTAGTTTGGCTTCGGGGTAATCTTGGTTTCATCGAGCTCCGCAACCGGATCCTTGCAGACGGTCAGTTTGCAAATCGGATGATCAGCTTCTTGGAATCAGTCATAATGCATAGCTTACATGACCGCGAGCCTCAATACGTTTCGCAATCACCACGGGCCGACTTGATGCCACTTAACCACGTCGACCAACACGATACCCTCCCCCTCACCACCAAACTGCACCTACACCTTGTGCCAAAGATGGTGGACGCGCTTCAACTGCCGAAGATAGGATGTTGAACACTTAAAGAAGCGCCTTCAAGCCAGTCTAACAACCAAATTACTAACCCACAAGGATCCCTGTGATATTGACAACTGAGAGGACACATACGGCAATGATCCTTGTATGGGCTCAAAGGAGACACGGCATATGTACATTAAGACCTGTATTGAAGATCAGTTTCAGTTGCCCTTTCGGCTTAGCCGCCGGGCGTTAATGAATTGTGTGTGTGTGTGTGTAATACGTATCTTACACTGCCCTCAACTTAACGTAGTCCCGTAAACATAAGATCCGCGCTTAAAGCCTTGGTAGTGGGTGTTGACCAAAGACAATCTGCCTTTGGGGAGGAAGCAGATTTCGCTAGCGACCGTGCAACATGGATCAAAAAATCCAGGTGGTACCACGTTGTACCAGGTAGCAGACGCGCTGAAAAGGATTGAGATGGGAACATTGGAAACCATCAATCCGTTTGATTAGCACCATGGGACAACGCATGCAGACCCATGTCGAAGCAGTGCCGGGACTGTACTGTAGCGGGCGGATCAGTACAAGTCGCAGTTAGCAGTTCGGCACGGAACGGGCTCGCTCGTAGCATTTGGGTTGGCGATCAAGAAGCAGCCTCCCCGGTACCGACGGTACCGAAGACTGGAACTGAAGACCTTCTCGGTGACAATGGGCGTAAGACCAGAGCAAAATCCATTCTCTGTGGAGCTAGCAGCAATGGCACATACTAGTGGGACTGAAAGATTACAGGTGCTCACGAGCAACAAACCGGCTAACAAATTACTAGCCCACAAGGGTTATTCACAAAAATTCCTACAATATCGACAGCTGAGAGGACAAATACTGAAAGGATCTACGTATGAGGTCGAACTTGTTTCTCGCTCACAACACTCATAGAGTAAGAGAGCAACAGAACACTGGAACCCAGGGCTTAAGAGGGCATTCATAAAAAACTTTGCTAGGAGGGCATAGTTTGGGCGGACGTGTCATTGGCCAAGCGCACCCTAGCTGAAGGAGGAAGAACTCACTACGTCTCGTAGTCCTGCTCCCACTTCTTATGCCCGATTGCTCGACGACGAGGGTGCCTTATGATGAATGGAGAGACTCAGGTCTGTCAGTTTACATCATCCTGCATATTGTTCAAGCATGGGACGCCTACTGTCAGTGTACTTTTGAACCTTGAAATGTCATGAGACCCATTGCATCCCGTGGTTAAATCTCGGTTTACTATGTAAGTCCCCTGATATCTCGTACGTCAGCCTTCAATGTTCCCTAATCTGGCGCTGTGCAATATTTAAAAGGAGGACAAAAGTATAATACAACATTGGGCTAACGCGTAAGTGAGTACTGGGTGTGGGTGTGAAGTAGTGAATGGACAAAAAAGTCATACTGCCATATTCGAAATCAAATTCCCCCACGAAGTCATGGTCCAATTGGTTGTCTCGGCAGAGTCAAAGCAGGTGCTCAAAGGGCCCGAATTCCTAGCGCTTTATCCCTCTTTTCAACCATACCACATATTCAATTCGAAAGCCCTGTTCTGGCAACTCGCTTTCAAGATGATCTTCTGCATGGATTACCCCTATAGCGACAGCAATGCTGGAAGTGGAAGCCCATATACTACTCACCACCGTCTCCGACACCGAGCGCAACGCGCCATTGCGAGACTACACACTCTGCCGCGCGGCCACTCAATCTGGGGCGCACTTTCACGCGCCCAGAACCGTAGAAACAATGTGGGATCATACGCGCGCTTCCCGTTAGCGAAGGCGATGAAGACCATGGACAACGACAGGCTCAACGAAGTAGAAAGAATCAATCCTCGCCCGCTTCCACCATGGTGAACGAACGCTTTCGCAGATCTCTACTAACGCTACTTACGCTATGTGGTATAGATACAGGTCTAGAATTTAAAAGCATCTCCATGTTTCTGCAACTAGAGTCATTGCTACTATCGCTTCGTAGATTTGACTGTTTACTGTACCAAATGCAATTTACTCGCATAATTTATCTGTGGAGAAGAAACATTTCACTGCTATCTAGCACCATTTTGTCTTTCTAGAAGGAGGCTTATTATCAAGACTGTAATTGGAATGGCTTGGCACTAATAGGTACAAGTCATCCTCTGACATCACGTGCTAGAATTCAGTCCAGATTCGGTTTAGCTTAGAGCTAGCTACTTCGGAGTTAAGCTCCCCAGAGAGGATGGTTCAAGTAAGACGGTCCGAAAAAAGTTTCGTTCTTCGTTTTCCTGTATCTGGGGAGACACCCATAGACTTCGAACTCCACGTGACGGATGACTCAAAGCAGCAGGATGTGGGGTTTAACCAAGTCCACCAAAACCACCGTTTAACTCAGATCTGGTCACACAGTGTTGGTGAAAACTGCTAAATGGTGAAATGTAAAGATAGCCTTCTAATCAGACTCAGGGGGTTAAGAGCATATCCCCTGAATAAATGGGCCCTTGAATCACCTTAGCTCGACTAACTAGGGCTCTGCCCAATACCTCCTTGATGATCATTTCGACGGCACTCACCGTGTCTCGCTCAAAGGAAAGACGCTCTCTCTTCCTCTTCACAGTGCTCTACCGCTTCTCTGGACTCTTGTTGCTCCTCAAACTGACGTATGGCCCGGCTACTTTAACTTTCATCCTTATGAAAAGCAGCATTCAGCGGGTGATTAACACATTTCACATAACACATTTCACACCCTCTCGTTTCACACCCTCCCGTTTCACCACCCTCTCGTTTCACCACCCTCTCGTTTCACCAGCCTCTCGTTTCACCACCCTCTCTTTTCACCACCCTCTCTTTTCACCACCCTCTCTTTTCACCACCCTCTCCACCAATCCAATTCAGAGAAGCCTCCACGTGTCTCATCAGTAATTCGATATTATGAAAATACCGCTAGAGTTTTGTAGACTTCTGATTGCCGGGTTTTCATCTGTAGCACTGGCGCGGTGCATTACCTGCAATTTAGGGAAATCCTAAGATAGGTGATTCCCAGTCAATAGTCAAAAGCCCTCGCCTTAAAGCCTCACTGTTATGCACATCTTCCGACTGCCCATCATCAGAGAGTGGATAAACCTATCATTGAACGTCAAGGCGAGGTTCTAAGGGAAGATCTGCTTTCAAAATCCTCTAAACCGCTCATCTTGGTATTTATTGGCAGTATTTTCGACTGAGGCCACAACCAACCTTAATTTTAATACATGATTCGCGTCAAAAGTTCAATCAATGCCGAAAATTGGAATTGTCACCATGATCAGTGATATTCTCAGTAAACAACGTCATACAGAGAATTTCGAAACAGTTTACCCCCCTGACACACACGTTTTCTTCTCAGAGATCCATATGAGCGTTTAGCCTGATCGCCGTGTTTCAGATTCTCTTGCCTCCAATAATATAGCGTCATGCCTCAGGAAAGGGGCTTCATCTAGCCAAAGCTAGCTTAGCGTAATCTGTGCCGGGCGGTTGGAAAGAAAGCACGTGTTTCTAGAAGAAACATGTTTTCAAAATCCTCTGTATTCTCTGGAGAGCAGCGTTATTTTATTGATTGAAGGGTACTACATTATACCAGCTTGTCTTATGCAATTTAGGATACAGTTCTCTCAATGGTACAGCCTGAGTTACAGGAAAGATTCTGTAAGCCTTTCAGTGATGTACTTTATATGCTCTTGATCAACCTTGTCACTTGGGCTGATCTGAACCGAGACTGTCAGCTTTTGTTTCGTCTTTGCTCGAATCTGGTATTGCTTTTGAACACCTCGATTTCTGGATGTCTCGTTCCGTAAGTAAGCTTGGCGGTGGAAGGAGGGAGCCCTAATAGATCAGCGTCTGCGACCCTCGTGAAAGGCTAGATACGTACCACTTGTGAGGAAAGAAATGTCCAAAATCCGGCAGTATCTGCTGCCAGCCAAAATATTCGTCCCGTTCCTCGAAGGCGGATGCCAAGGCATACATCGGCATCACATGTCTTGCTGTATTCACAAGCCTTTCTCATCAAATTTGTTTTTCGGCGGCATTGTTTCTGGCGATATAATCGTCTCTCTGTAGCAGAGGTACTTGATCGGGATCCACACCCAGTGGCCATGTCCGGGTAAACAATTAATCAGGATGTGACGAGGAAAAATAAGAACAAGTTAAATTTGGAGGCAAAGGCACCCTATATATTTTAGCCAGAGTCGCACTTATCAAGCATGGTCGTTGAAAATATCACACGAGATAAAACGAGCCACGGGCATTTGTGTAGTCGTCTTACGGCCGGTTCTAATTGCAGCAGAAAACTAATGTTCAAACGTTTGGAGCATGTTGAAATTTTGTTAAAGTGTCTTAAAGAAAGCCTTATGCCGATATGCCTTGAATATCGCCATATGTAAGGTGCCATGCCCATGAATCCTGAACCGGTAGGGTGCATCATCAAGAAAGATCGACGGATACAGGAAGGATCGAAATCAGTTTCACCACTTGAACTCAAGAGATTCTTTCTCAAAGCCCCACTTCCGAATGCGCTAATCTATATATAACTAGTTTCATTCCAAGTGGCTGAATCGTGTCGAAAGACAGTTTCATGAAAGACTAGTTCAGATAATTGCAATATCTTGTTCTTCAACATCGTGGACATGCAAGTAGGCCTAGATGCACACTGAAGGCTCCAAAAAGCCTGGATAAGGCGTGAAGAAAAGGACAATCGAGAATCAGTGAGAACATGAGGACATTGGGGATAATAGTCAGACAGTATTTTCCTTGTTTTCTACCTTTCCCCGAAGCTTTCTTTGATCGTTCTACAAGGTACTGTGCCGATAGCAAACAACTAACCTAGCCAGAGACCCATTCTTGGATGTTTGATTGGTCACCGGAATATACATAATTTTGGAAACAGGATTTAAGACTGGAGTGGTGTTGAAACACTCAATGTTGGCTTTTTTGGCACATTACTGGGAGCAAAACAAGTCTGAACTGCTAAAACCTAATGCCTTAATAATAATATGTTGAATTTTCCTACCAGACAATTGAAAGTACAGTACAGGGAGGGTCGAAATCAGTTTCACCACTTGGACATAGAGATTCTTTCTCGATCCATCCTGTACGTTTGGCGGACGAACTCATGGCCCAACTGTTGTCTAGAGTGTCCCGATCGTAAGGGCCGCCGCTTTGTTGCTCGTGAGCAGCATGACCCTGCAGTCTTTTAATCCCACTAGCATGTTCAACACGTGTGCTATTACTGCTAGCTCCGCGGAAAATGGTTGGTGCTCTGATCTTGCACCCAGTGTCACGGAAAAGGTCTTCGGTTTCAACTTTCGATGCGATCGCCACCCCAAATCCTACGAGCTCGTTTCGTGCCGAGACTGCTGACCGCGACCTGCGTTGATCCGCCGGTACAGTCTGTGAGTCCAATATTGCTTCAACATCGGTCTGCATGCGAGTCTCCAGGATGCTAACGTGAAGGGGTTGATGGTTTCCAGTCTCTCCATCTCAATGTTTTTCAGGGCGTCCCCTACTGGTACAACGGCGAGCGGTGGTACCTCCTGAATTTCTTGATCCAATGCCGTACTCTTGCGGAGCGGATTGATTTCTGGAAGGGTGTGAATGTCCGTCCACATTTTCACGGCCCGTCTCCAAGAACGATGTTGTGCAGCGGCAATGTGAGCCTCTGCCTCGGCGACCCACCGAATATCGAGGATGTCAACCCCGTTCGAATTTCCTGTTCCTCGGGGGGTTCCTTGGACCCCGAAATCCACGTGACCGATGACCCACGGCAGCAACATGTGGGGTTCCAACAAAAGCACCACAAACCACCGTTTAACTTATACCCGTCAAACGGTCCTGGTGAAAGCGGTCAAATGATGAAACTTGTCCAGATGAACGTACCTGTGTTTACTCGACGTTGATGGTCAAGGCCAAATATCTCGTTTAGTTTCATCAACTGACCCGCGGCATAAACTTCTGCTTTAGGCAGTTTACTTCTGCTTATCTGGCAATATTCAATTTTCCTACTGGTGTCCAGCGGTCAAAAAGGGCGCTATTCGAGGTCAATTCAAATCCGGCAGCTTTTTTGCCCGTGCTATTATTTAAAGGCTGTTGATGTAAAAAATCATGCATGTTTCGTTTTCATCATTACAGTATGCAGCCAGGAAATATGATCAAATAACAGTGATCAATTGGTTCCTTGTCTTAACGGTCAAAACCGCGGGTTACTGGGGCAGATTATGGACACAGCATCACCATTGTCGACACGCTTGCACAATTCAACTGACACTATTAAAAACATGGGGATTATTTACAGTAAGTCCGGCAAATACATTGATAGTCAACAACAATCCATGAGTAAGATAACTTCAGCATTCCCGGATATCGTTATTCATAGTGTTGTGAAATTTCGTGTACTGTAGACATTTTGTAGGTTTTGGCCTTCTCAAGGTTTTGATGGAACCGGCCGAGGCTGACAGGTGAAAGTTGTTTCAAACACGGCCTTATTTAAGATACAAGTTGAGAATCATTTTTGGTGACAATATAAGATATTGTAACATGTACTGGTATCCTCTTACTTGCTGTTATCCAATATTTTCCGAATGAGTCTAGATCTAAAACTGAACAATAATCTTTCGGATTCCACGCTTGGATCTCCTGCTCCGCCTTGCGCTTCTCCTCCGATTTTGTAAGCAGCTTGTCCCCGGCTTTCGCCCTCTTTTTCCGCATCAGACCTTCTCTCGCCACCTTCACGTAGCGTTTCTTCTGCGCTTCAACGATATCTTCGTAGCTCATTACTTTTGAATGTCTTACAACCGTTATCTGGCCAGCGGATTGTCGACAGGACTTTTCATTGTTCTGCTCAAGTAGGATCCGGTTCTCCTCCAGCAACAAGGCGCGCCCCGCAAAGACCTTTTCGGCCGCGCGGCTCAGTGTCTGTAGATGGTGTTTGCATACACTGCGGAGCCCATTTGGTCCAGAACAATGACGGAGATTGTGTGCTCGATGGTCATGTAGCCATTTTGTTGGCGCATGAAAGCGAAGAACAATAGACGTTCACGCCTTGGATATTGAATATTAAATCTATCATTTCCCAGCGCCGTCGGCTTTGAGTTCAAACAGCTTTTGCCGAGCAGTTTTGCAAGGCGCTAGCGCATGCGTCATCTTGGTTAAAGGCGGGGTTAGAGCTGACAGGGTTAAACAATTTGGGATCCGCGGTTTGGGTTATCCGTTCGCTGTAGTGATCCCATTGGGCTCCACGACAGAGCCGCGGGTCCGGAACTGCCAACTTCGTGCAGCTGCACCTCGGCACCGTCCAGATTGACTATGAGACAGAGCGCCAGAAGGAAGAGTGTTCTGATATAAAAGAAGTGTATATAGACTTGATCGGCTTCTCATTACGAAAAATTCTTCGTTCTGCCTACTTATCCTCAAGTTCGACGTCAAGTTCACCATGTCCAAACCCATCCTTTTCATCGGCGCATCTGGCGCAATGTGTAAGCTGGTCATTGAGCGCTTCATGAAAGCTAGCAATGCACAGTTTATTCTGGCCGATATCAACCTGGAACCTATCGAGGAACTTCGCGCAACTCTTCCGGCAGGGCGGGCAACATCACTTAAGCTTGATCTGTTTAACCATCATGCACTCCTTTCCGCAATCAAGGGCACAGCACTAGTTGTCCTCGGAGCAGGGCCATACACTCGTACTTCACACCCAGTGATGGAAGCCTGCTTGGAGGCTAAGGTTCCATACCTTGATTTCGACGATGATGTTGAGAGTACCCAGGCAGCCTTGGACATGTCTGACCGCGCGAAGAAGGCAGGAGTGGCATTCTTTATTGGTTGTGGTGCCTCGCCTGGAATGAACAACATCCTTGCTGTTGATGCGGCTAGAAGTCTTGATAGTGTGACCTCTATCGAGCTTTTCTGGCTGGTTGGTAATGAGAAATCTGGAGCCGGTAGGGCCGTCATGGAACATCTCATGCATATTGCTTCCGGTCCTTGCCTGACTTGGGTCAATGGCAAACCTGCGCTCACTGAATCCTACCTGGAAACCAAATATGCGCCGATCATAGGCTCTGGCGAAATGATGCTTCATGAGACCGCTCATCCAGAGCCCGTTACCCTTCCCCGGCTTTATCCCAACGCCGATAGCATCAGGTGTTACGGTGGTCTTTATCCGCTAACCAAATTTGGGTGTGCACGAGGCTTGGGTAACGCTGTGCGCAAGGGGTTTTTGCCTATTGGTGAAGCAGGAGATTTTCAGCTTAAGGCTCGGCACGGCGATTTGCAACCGGAGATCGGTGGCCAAATTCTTCGTGAGCTTGAAGTCCAGTTGCCTGGCTTCAAGATCGATACTGAACCGGGTATCCGGCTTCTCCAACAGGCCAAAGGATCCAGTAAAGCTGCCTCTTATGCTCTGGAAGGAGTAATTGACCAAATAAAGAGGGGGGAAACATCCAAGGAAGAAGCGCGTGACTTCTTCATCGAAGCTTCGGGCTACGCCGAAAAAGTGGAGACGGCAGGGGGCCTTCTGGTGCGAGCTATCGGCTTCCGCAATGGTCGTTCAACTACTGTCACCAAGCGCACGCCGTCGTGTGCCTTTAAGGATTCGTATCTGACGAAAAGCATGGGGACCATGACTGGGACATCTTGCGCAGCCTTCATGGTCCTGGCCCTTCAAGCTGGACAGACTCTGAGCGGCGTTTTCTGCCCCGAAAATTGGGCCGAACCTCAGGCCTTCTACAAAGCACTTGAGACATGTGGTGTCCCACATACTCAATTGCCGGAAACGTATACATATTAGGGGGATCCCCAACCCTGGATGTAACCTGACAACATGGCGGGACCGAAGGCAATATCATATTCTGTTTCTATTAAAATGATTAGACGAAACAACCGTCTTCCCGATACGTCTGTCTTTAATGTATTCTGTTTTGAGCTTTCCCGCTCGTTGACATCGCGTAGACCGCCATTTCATTTGTCGAGTAGGTCTGCCCTTACGCTTGCGAGGCGGGTTTGAATTCTCAGATGTATATATTCCCATTAAGAAGGCATTGGTTTTGACCCCTAAAAATAGACGAGATGGATCGGAAGAAAGAAATTGATGGACATGCAAGGAAACAGATGGATAGGTCGACTGATTGTGTCAGAAAGGTAAAGCCAAGTACACTCTGGTGTATGCTAACGCAAGTGACGCTTGCAGGAACTACATAGGTGGCTCTCAACAATAACTCAAAGGTACTGCTCCTCTGCAAAATGCTCAAAGCGTTTTTATCAAAACGAAGGTTTGTTCAACAGGAGTAAAAATGGTATGAAGTGAGTCTACCGTCTATCAATACCGGCTCGAAAGTCAAGAATAACTCCATTTTCGACAATAACATTAACGCAATTATAGACTTGCAGAAAGGCTTACATATGTTCCAGGCACAGTCATTCGCAATATACGGCCCTCGCCATATCCGTCTGCAGTCCAATTGGGGAGGCTCTAGAACAAGTAGTGTATGCAAAAGTCTCGTCGCCAAATGCTGCCCCGTTGCTTCGAAGTCAACTTGGCCCGCGGCTCCACGGATCCGGTGCTACAAATTATTTAGGAATTAATCAGGCTTTGGCGCTTTGATGAGACATCAATAGGCGGTCAAAGCACAAATGAGCTTAGACAGCGCGGGGAGAACTTAGGACCAATCGAATTACTCGCTAACGAGTCAGCAGGTAGGTGTCAACAAGCTGTCCCACTAGTACCCCTACACTCAGATGAATTATGCAAGAATTAATGCGCTAAATTTGTGTATAACTTAACTTGGCCGCTACCCAGATGCCGTGTCAATTGTTGGTAAGAGGTCTTCTGCTCTCTTCTGAATATTTCCAAATCGACTGTGCATTACCGATATCAAACGAAAGCTATGCACACTCTTGGATTCGCTCACTATTCATGGAATTGTTTTTTCATTTTTATGGGCCTGTGTAAATTAGACTTACGGCATTAATATCGTAATTCAGACAACTTGATATTCCCATTGGCTACCGTGCGCAATCATATTGGTGGCACAATGGTCTCAACTACCAATAAGCGTGACGCTAATAATTCTGCCGGCAATTTGCTGATTCTATGCTAAATAATCATGCATTAGTACGGTCTCTCTATAAGGCGTACGCAGTGACGGTAGGTAAATTTTGGATTTTGAAACCGTTCTTTATTTGACGTGCAACATAGTGACCTCAATTTCAAATGGGAAGCGGTCAATAAAAAACGTCATTCATATCTTGTGCATGCCAGGGTCAGGGGAAATTCACAGTTTCACCACCCCATTCTGTATCTGGATACATGATCAGAGTACTTTTAAGCCCCTCCAGCTCCCGCAGACACCTATCAAGCCCAGTCAACAACTCTGACATACGTTTAGTATCGGCTATGTTAACGGAACTTCGAATCTCTTCTGCAAGCCCTCTGACAGCTAGTTTGTATGCTTGTACCACCATGGTAGGGTGCTGCGGGTAACATTCAGTTTGAGAAAGCCACGTTCTAAGGCAGGTCCAACTCACCGGATGTGCACGAACGTCTCCAATACTTGCCTTAAGTCCAGCTTTTCCTTGTATGCCAGGGCTTGAGACGCCTAGGTTCGGGGTGGCGAGATAGGAAATCTGCATGGCACTTGTAAGGCGTTGGGAATCCCGATAATGACTGGTAAGCTCTAGCCTTTCGTGGAGACTGTTCTTTGGCGATTGTGGCTGGTCAGACAAACGTTTCCGAAGCTGACAGGAAATTTCGTAGAATATGAGGATCGCTAGATCGCCATCCGTAGCACAGAAGATTGCACTTCGCCGCAGATCAGTAGTGACTAGCTGCAGACTGATGGCTGTATCATGGTCGATGTTTCCAAAGGCCTTCCTCCATTTTTCGATAAGCATGATCATCGTATTTAAATGGCGGTAAACATCTGTATAATCAGCATCGTCGACCCAGAATTTCCGGGTCGCTAAAACCAGCTGTGCGAGTGATTTCCACATCAAGATAACGAGGGATCCGGACTCAAGTATGGCACTATTCAAGAGATGATCTGGAAAGCCTCTTGTCCATAGTACTACCACCGGCTGCGTATTGGCCTTGACCTGAGTAATAATAGCATCATCCATTGATCCTAAATCTTTCTGATTCTCCGCTCTCTTCAAATTGGGCCTCTGGGCTGCCTCGTCTGCTAGAAAAGAACTGCTGGAATTGAAGTTCCCAATCGACGGTGTAACGGCAAAGCTTCGGCGTGGAAAAAGAGCGATCGCTACTGATTGGGAAATCTCAACGAGCCATTCAAAGGCTGCAATTAGCTCCGCAACATTTTTGCGGGCCTCGCGAGGCAAGCTTTGCAACAAATGCGGCTTTTCCCCGGGCCGACTCATACCCACCAAAGGCGTATCAGTTCGCGCCTGAATATCACTATTCCTAAGGCGGGCTCGGGCTTGAATACATAGCATTTGGAGTCGACAAATGCCTTCGTGAATCGCATAGGAAGCGTCTTCGAACCCATCACTTCCATCAGTCCCAGAGGGTGGCAAAATTGTCCCAAATAGAAGCAGGCTCAGCCCTAGACGGAACGATGTGTTCGCCGCAATGTTCGTGAACACCATGTTTTTTGCCTTACACCATGTTGCATATGCAATATCCTTTGCTCTTTCACAAGATATTCCAGAGTTCTCGGCCGCACTTTTATGGACTGCAAATTGCGATCCGGCTGCTATGGCGACCCACTTATACGTCTCAGTCAACAACATGTCGCGTGCTGTCAATTTCACACAATTCGACTGCGAATTTGAGCGTTGAAATAGCACATCAAGAATGCTAGCTGTAAAGAATATTTGTGGCATAGCGGAAGCTGGCAGCTGCGAGAAAGTTGCCAATTCCCAGCAATTCCTGATGCTGGACTGGACTGTGGGAAATGTTGCTGCTAATTTCACATTTTGGCCTAATGGTGTCAAAGCAGCTATTCCTAGAGAAAAACTAGGCGGCACACATTTCTCTGAAAGAAATTTTGACATTGGAATTTCGATGATGTCAAAATACACGCCTAATCCCTGAGAGCGTATCTCGTGAGACATTGCATGACAAAGTAGATGTGATTCAGAGCTCGCTAGACTAAGCCTGGTTGGGGATCCAGCATCTTCAGAGTGCTCCAACCCCGCATCAGGACAATCGCTAGGTGCAAGATTCTTGGGATAAGAGGAGTGTTTACTCGCACGCCATGTAACTGTGCAATCCGCACCCCGGAGTTTGCACATGGAACACGGTGATGAAGGGCGGCTTTTTGAGATTCGAGCATCGGGTGGCAGATCGCAGCCCCTTTTGGCCGAACGGCAGGGATCGCATGAGTGATTTTGCCGTCGTTTTCGTGGCCTCCGCGGACTTGCAGGTGTCCGGCTTTGTGAGGCTACAGAAGCAACATCTTTGTCTTTCGGATCGGTCTCAATGGACGAAGGTTCTAGAGAGCCATGGCCTTGGGAGAGATCAACACCGTTGAGCTGCGTCTCTGCATTACCTGCTATGGTCGCCAAGTATGCGGAGGGCATAGCAGCGTCAAAAGTAGAGAACATAACGGAATTCTCGGGATACTCGAAAGGAAAGAGAGTGTAATGAGGAAAGAGCTGATTCTGGTCGATTGGTCCTTCTGCATCGTGGCTTTCATCAGGAACGCCAGAATAATTGGCAGACACGTATAGATTAGCAAACGACATGTTGCTGAAGTTCACGTCATGGTAAACCGAAAGGATGATTGTGACAAGGGTGACAAAAAGAGGATGTTTAGATACGCTGCACAGTTCATGCAGTGACTGAGGCGCTATGTAGAAAATACGGAAATCCCGCCATGCCACTTTACGCGCAAAGTAAATGGGGAACTGCTAAATACACACTTTGGGATCATGATGTAGTAAATGCGGGGTAGGTCCGATTTACGGGTCCGCGGGTCCCGAGTCAAAGCTTGCCACTAGAAGTTACCGCAACTTTGCAGGTTCGGGGGATTCCGATTTCTAAGGTAAGTTCAGACCTTCCGAAACCAGGTTTGATTCGGCTTTTCTGGATCTCGCATCTTGTCACACATTTGATGCGTACATGGCTATATGTCAAAACTAATGCTACCAGGACGTTTGTATGTACGGACTAAATTAATCGGCAAGGGACAATCAAATAGTGGTCTCCCAGATGTACAGTTGACCAATAAGTAAACCGAATTCCGATTTCGGAGCAAACAGCTATTCAGAGCTGTGCGGTTTCCCTTTTGGCTAGCTTGATAGACACAGTACGAGCAGCATGGGCACCGCTTGACAGAGCACCCTCGATAGAGCCTGCTTCACTCTCGGAAATATCACCTCCTGCGAATTGAATATTGCCATGTGGCTTTCTGAGTTCCACTGCTCCAGTCGTAAAGAATCCAGGTCGATTCATCATCCAGCCTCCTTTGGCAAATTCATCCGCCACCCAACTATGGTACGCAATATCAACTACCTCAATTCCGGGGATAAATTTTTCAAGGGCAGTTTGCACCCCCTGGGCATTTTCGGCGCGGATTGCAGCGTCATCGGAGCACATACAAAGAGCAAGGGTGTCTCCGTTCAAGTATTTTTCTGTCCTTATAGCATTCAGAGGATATTTGCCAGCCGGGGTAGCGATGGAAAAGGGTTCGACCTCGCCCCGAATGCGGATCCAGAGTTTGCCCGCCATCGTCGGATTCTTCTTTGCAATCATAGATCGGGCCATAGCTGGCAAATCTGGCGAAATATGAACGTCGCTAATAGTGTTTAGCGGTAATGCAACGATTGTCGAACGAGCATAGAATTGTCGTCCATCTCGAGTTTCGATAGTAACCTTAGAGCCTTCATCGACGATAGAGCTGACTGGCGTGGAGAGGAAGATTCTGGCAGTTGTCTCGGCTAGAATAGCGTCGATCAGGCTCTTAGTGCCTCCCTGAATGCCCCAGCTACCAGCAGTCTCGAAAAAGCACCCATAATTTCCAAAGTATGTAGCCGCAGATTGGAGCAGCTGGGCAATGCCATGGTCTTTGTACGAATGTACCAGGCCAGACAAAACGCTTTCTAACACATCCCGCTCATACGAGGATAGATTCAACGAGTTTATGCGGTCTTCGATGGTCTCATTTTCAATCTCCGCGTTGTCGACTGCAGCATGGTCAAACGGCAGTGGGAATCGAAGACGGCTGTCTGCAAACATTCGTTCTAAGAGCGGAGAAACAATGCCATAGAACTCCTCGGCGCTGCCGGAATGAACAGCTCCGTCGGCAAGCCAGTAATGCCGCCCTCCCTCCATAGGAGGGTTCACGAGAATCCCATGGCGCTTCAGCTCGCTCCAAGTATAGGGTTGCGTCCAATGTACATAACCGCCACCCATATCGAGGACGGTGCCGCAAGCGTCGTCCATATGAGTTCGTCCTCCCAGTCGATCGCGTGCCTCTAACAACACCACCTTGTGGCCTTTCGTGCTAAGGTCACGTGCGGCAATGATCCCGGCCATGCCGGCCCCGATCACTGCGACATCGAATAATTCGTCCATTTCGATAAAAAGGGGCGTCGGCGGTTTCAAGAATTAATATCAATTATCGTGCAAGTCTCGCAACTGAAGTTTAATTTTTGGTTGGTTTCTTTGGGAAGGGCTGGCTGATGAGGGAATAGTCGAGTAGCTCTTTATATAGCAATTTCACAAGCCAAATGCCCAGGTATGGGCAAAAGCACCCCCTAACGACTCGCGAACACGACTACTCTAGAGTTTATGCGGACACGAAACGGCGCCTCGCCACAGCGGAACCCTAAGCGCCGCGGGAGCCGCTCGGAGAGATGGCACTCACCGCCCCGCGGGTCCAAGGTCTAGTCCCTCCACCGGGATCCCCCGAGGGTTGGGTCCAACATCACCCTTACCCTGACCCTCATTGGCCCGCAAAAGCCACGCCTTACCTACTTAGGACACGCTTTGCCCTATTAGGTCGAGTCGCTAAGCTATTCGACAACTAAATTGACAAAAATGTGACTTTTTAAGCCAAAATCAGTCATGCGAGGGTCCTGAGGGTCACCCGCGGGTCACTCTCTATGAGGCCGACCTCTGAGTATTCGACCCTCGGGGTCGATAACTTATTGCTTACCCGGGTTGCGTGGAGGGTCCGGAACGCCACCCACGGGGGAGGGCCTGGCCTGGACGCCCGTTCTGCGGACCTAATTGCTCGACAAAGCGCTTGCTTTCCTTCATTTCCGCTTTATATCTTTCCTAACTTGATAGTGTTCCTCTAGAGAAAACCCTGGGAGTTGGGGGCCCATGTATTCGTAGGATTTTCTGATGACTCGGACCCAGGTGATTGCGTATTTTGTATCGATACACTACGTACTAACGCAATAGCTCCTTCTACTCTCGTCAAAAATGATCTACCAGCCATGAGCTCACACCCCAGTTGCCATTTTCCGGGTCCGCGGCTTTGACAATGGCAGATCGGGACATAGGATAGAGCAATGGAAGTAATCTAGGCTTCAAAAAGAGTAATTTATCAAAAATATTGAAGGAAGGTTTGTGGTCCACAGAAGAAGTCCAGAAGAGTAATCAACCCTTTTGATCAGCGCATAACGCCAGATATCAATATTACATTTGAGATATGGCGAGGCGTATGCAAGAAGACTCTAAAACACGTTATTGTATTGCCCTGTACAATGTTGATCAATATGCACTCAGGTACATCGCTATTTCCAGCGGAGACTGTTGTAGCATACGCATTACAAGACGACTTGCAGACATACTTGATACGGGGACACATGTTGAATTTCTACTTAGTTCAAATTCTTAGTCACGTCACCCAGTTACTTAAAGTAGAAGAAATAATTCATAGGACTTCACGAACTAGCTCCCCGGAAGGCAATTTCAAGTTGTTTGTATGGCATTGTGCGTTGAGTTTGATGCCATATTTAAATTTGTACGTATTTTTATTCAAGTATGGCCCGAAAGCGGTGCCGCTACAACTGTTCCGCGGGATTCGGGACCGCGGGATCGAAGATAAGGCCCTGCAAAACGCACTGGGGCCGCAACCAAAGACGTCGGATGGTAATCAAAGTTGAACTATCCCAATTCTAAATTCAGTTTTTGTGAGTTGATGCACCCCTGACAGGGACCTTTTTACAAGCTTTCCTGTGGGCACATAACCACACGCTGCACTATAAATCCTCGGGCGAACCCCTTGGCTGTCTGAATTTCCAGAACATCCTCAAGCTCACAGACTGGGACTTTTATCTTCTTTGATTAAACCAAAATGTCCAACCTCGCTGATACCAAACCTGTCGTCTTCATCGGCGCTGCGGGCGAGATGTGCCGAATTGCTGTGGAACGATTTGCCAAAGCTAGCAATGCCCAGCTCATTCTCGCAGACCTCAACACTGATGCCGTCGAATCCCTTGCCGCCAGACTTCCAGCTGGTCGGGCAAAGACTCAGAAGCTCGATCTATTTGACAACGCTGCTCTTGCCAACCTAATCAGCGGTGCAAAACTGGTTGTGTTGGGTGCGGGGCCGTATTCCAGGACCTCTCATCCAGTTGTGACGGCATGTATTAGGGCCAAGGTCCCGTATCTTGATTTCGACGATGATGTTGAAAGCACTCAAGCTTCCCTGGCACTCACCGAAGAAGCCCGAAAAGCGGGAGTGCCTGTCTATATCGGTTGCGGCGACTCGCCCGGACTGAGCAACGTCATGGCCATCGACGCCGCCAGCGAACTCGACTCGGTGGATAGCATTGATATTTGCTGGCTTGTCGGTGACGAAGCCAGTGTTGGAAAGGCTGTGCTATATCACCTATTACATATTGCTGCTGGTCCATGCTTGACGTGGGTGGATTCGAAACCGACAATGAAGGAGTCTTGGGTCGGAACTACTTACGCACCCATGTATGCTGATGATGGAGAGAGGCTGTTGCATGAAACCGCTCATCCAGAGCCTGTGACTCTTCCGCGTCGTTTTCCCAATGCCACTCGCATTCAGTGTTTCGGTTCGTTGGATCCTAAGCCGCTCAATGGTATCGCTCGAGGCCTTGGTAATGCCGTTCGTGCAAAGGCATTGTCGATGGATGAAGCGGTTGATTTCCTTTATAATATGGCAACCAATCCTCCTTTGAGCGGTGGACTGGGTGGTTGGGGCGAAGCTTTCGGGGCCCTCAAAGAACAGCTCCGTGGTGGCGATATCACTCTCAAGGGGCTTTACTCCTTGGTCAGGCACGCTGTCGGCCCTCTGCGCTATGCTCTATGGGGAATGATTGAGCAAATCTGGAATGGAGAATGCACTATCACTGAGGTGGTGACTTGCATCCTGAACGTGGCAACCGGCACGAAAATTGAAAATAGGGGCAATACACTCGTTAGGGCCATTGGAATGCGCGGTGGTGTTCCAACTGTGGTCACAAAGCGTAATCCGAAAAACGGTAAGAACTCCTACTTGTGTCAGAGTATGGGTACAATCACGGGAACCTCAACTGCTGCGTTCATGTTGATGGCGCTCGAAGATGGTCACAAGCGAAGTGGTGTTTTCTGTCCGGAGGACTGGGCTCAGCCAGAAGTCTTTTATAACGCCTTAGAACGCGTTGGAGTCCCTAAGAACGAGATTATCGAGACTGTCTAAGTACGTTCCACGTGAGGTGAATTTGATAACATTGAAAACCTTGTTATAATCATGCCCATATCTAAATCCGGTTGATACAATAGGTAAAGCAAAGACGTAATTCTCAGTTCTTAACACGGAGATAGAGTGGACCTGGTGCGCTAAATAATTACCCGCTAGCTTCCACTGAATGAGTCGCAGAGATTCAATTCTACAGGCACATCCCAAAAAAGGTGATATTACAGCACAGAGCTTCTCTTGGTGATGTGGGTTTTTACTTGCCAAGCAGAATATGTCTATATTTGGAAAACTCCTTTGGAATGGCAATCGCTCGGATACGTCCGGCAAAGAACGCCAAGTCTGAAATATACTTTTACCTTTTACTGCTAGGTTTAGCGTTCCCTCTCCCATGGGTATGGGTGGCCCCTGGTAGGGTGTAATTAGGGCACCATTAGGGCGTTTCTTAATGGGAGTGCCGGGTGGGGCGATGAGCAGGCTGGGGTAACTTTTAGACTAGGCTGGAATAATGTTGCGTACGACCATTGACTTGAAATTGTACTGTTTAAGTTTCACCACGCGGGTATGGTCCCCGAATTTCAGAGCATTTAGTCTAGCCATAGAGGTGTTGTGAGCAAGATAAAGTTCCAAAACAAAGTAAATTGAAAGAAATAGGTGAAACTGATTTCGAGCGGTCCTGTACCCTGTTTGAATGCGCGATTTAGGACTGTAGAGGCTTGTTGGCTGACGTACATTCAGTATTTGACCCGCATGTCAGGAGCGACATCTAGATGCAAGGCATGGTACTTTGATTTTGTTGAAATTTCCTTTCAGGCATACGAATATTGACGCCTCAACAGAAATACCATGCTGTCGGCATGCCCGAGACAGCCAAATGGCCTACATCGATCGACAGCACATGTCCTGGAGATGTCGATCTGGCGTGTTGGCCCCACAACATTTGTACGGTAGTTACATCGACTTGAAAGCTAAGCGGATGATGATCAAGTTTGCGACACCTTCTCTTCTCTTCCCCCCCCCCCCTCTCTCTCTCTCTCTCTCTCTCTCTCTCTCTCTTCCTACCTCTCTCTCTCTCTCTCTTCCTACCTCACTTCATTTCGATGCTCCGTTTTGCTTGAAATTGGGTCGTAACACCGCTGACGCTGTTTGATGACTTCAGGCAATATGAAGACACAAAATAAAGTGTATTTGAAGTATGCGAGCATGGTAAATCAGAAGCTAGATGGTAGCCATACCTTGAGTTACAGTGTACATGCCACTATCACTAATCTCGGCCAATCAACAAGCCACGCCTTTCCTTTCAGCGTTGAGTAAGATTGGTTCACACATGGCCCGCATGGAGACAATACTTGCTTGATCTGAGCGTTCTCAGTCCTGTTCGACTTCTCCTCCCTGGCCCTCCCTATAATAGTCCTTATTCCAGGAGAAAATAGCGAACCAATAGATGGTTGCGATTACAACCACTCCACCAAATACCACACATGTCCAATTCATGGTCGTTGGCGTGACTGGCTGATAAAGTGGCATGCTGAGCATCACTGTTATGAAGATACTCCATGAACTTGCCACCCAAAAGATGGCATCGCCCCATCGACCTAGGTTGAACCAACGATTTGGGTCGAATGTCTTCCGCCCTGTATACAAGGCTAATCCAAATGACGTCACCACGGCCGTGACGATGCAAAGGTTGGCTGCTCCTAGAAGAGCGTTCATCTATATGGCCAGCAGAGTTAGTTTCGAATATTGTAATCTTTAAGATATCGTCTCGACTGTGTCCTAGTATAAAATAGGGGAATATAAGACATACGGCTGTGGTGGAGCCAATACTGATAGCCCCAATGGCGATGAGCAGAACTGCGTTCCAGCATAACGCATAAATCGGCAGACAGTCCCGTGATGTGAGCTTGGACATTGTCTTTGAGAATGGCAGACATCCCTCGCGAGAGAAAGACCAGTAGAGCCGGGACCACGTGATCAATGAAGACGCAGCTGCCACAAGAAAGATGTAAATTACGATAGCTGTAGTGGCTATCGTCAGTGAGCGCGAACGGAAGGCGTTGAACATAAGTTGAATCAGTGGCTGGCCTCCAACTGGGTTTAGCATGCTCTCAGGGTCAACGTTACAAAACTCGTAGACCACAATCATGGGTAGTGCGGTGAAATAGCTCATGAAGAATGATCCTATAATCACTTGCGGAACCTGCTTCTTTGGGTTCTCCAGTTCGTCCGTCAAATGTGTCGCGTTATCGAATGCGGCAAGAGAAGAGTACGCGGGTAACAAAGCCAGAAAGAACACTGTTCCGTTGGAGGTCCAGCCAGACTCGTTTACAAACTTAAGGAAAACTGCGGAAGCAGCTTGTTTCGGGTGGGCGCGGACCAACAGTGCAACAAGTAACCAGATCGCTGCGCCGTTAAGGGTGAAGATGGCGGCCTTTAGCATGTAGTCGACGGTTTTAAATATCCGAGGAAGATTAATCAACAGACATAGCAATGTATACGCGCAGTATACGAGGTATGTCTGCCAGGACGCAATCATAAACCCCGGATTCGCTGCGCTGACGAGGGCCATGGTGAGCTGTGCCGTGTAAAGAACACTGGCCGCGCTGATGAAGAACCAGCCAGCGTTAGTAAGCCATCCCATTATGTAACCTATTTTTCGGCCATAGCGAGGAGGTGCTAAGACAGTTGCCCAATGTGCAGGTCCTTATAATGTTAACGGTCATTGTCTAGTATCACTGCTTAATTCACTTACCAGAAGAATGAGGAATAGCGGATGCTAGTTCGGATATTGCCAAGCAAGTGGTTAACTGGAAGAAGCCCGTCATGACGAATCCCCAGAAGTAGGCTGGCGAGCCCCCAAGCCCAATCGTCAGCGAGAGGTAGCTGCCTATTGCAATCGGTGCCCCTGTAACTGAGTATTGAATACCTATGGCAGAAAGCAGGCTAAAATGTACTTTTGACCTAGCTTCGCAGATTCCCTGGATCTCAGAAGTCGACGTTCGCTTGGCGACCGTGTCGGGCATCTGATCCAGCTTTTCCGAGATTTTATCTTGAGCCATCTTTATTCAATCATTTGGAGAGTCAATGGGGTTTGGCTAAGAAGCACCAGCACCTAAGACAGCGTAGGGGATAAACTTGGGATAAAATACACAGTAGTTGAAATGGACATACGTCCTGTGCAAGAGGCCTGGCCCTTAAGTGATCGACGTGCCTCACTGTACCCCGGATTTTATAGTCCCCGCAGACTTGCATTTCGATACGGGCAAGCCCCGCCAAGCCACAGAGAACTTTATATGCCGGGAACATGATGCATGTCGGTGCCGCGGGACCACGATTCTCAACAACTGAAAATTTTTGATTATAATTTGGACGGAAATCAAATACTAGCGGTCAGCGAAAAGAATACAGGAGTTCGTGGTATAATACAATAAGTGACGACTCCTGGCGGCCCCCCCGGTAATCCGTTGATTTCCAAGTTTCAGTGTCTCAGATGCAGGTGCAGCTTTTCGTTCCCTAAAAGTGAGCTTAAATGGGAAGTCATAGTGACAGAAATGCCCTGTAGAGCCATGGGAATACACTGAGCTTACTAGTCGATTGGCGCAACGGAATCAAAGGGAGAAATACCAAAAGGTGAAAATAGCGTTGATTCTAGTTCCTTAAAACTGCCAGGGGTTGAGGCTTGTTGAAATACCCTCGAGAGTACCAGTGACTTGGATGTTACATACTCGAGGTGCTGAAAGGTGGTAAAAGGTGGCAAAAGTACGCGTAATCCCAATACCAAATACCATATCCTCGGAAACCTCAAAGAAACCGTTTACTGGGTAAATAAATACGGTGATGATCGCTATCTTTCCTAGCACCAATCTTATTCGAGCATATCATTTTATTAAATATTCTTGACCGAAACTATAAACATTTCGGGTCCGCTGCTCGGGGTCCGGTAGCGCAGGGTCTGGTAGCAGAAGCCACAGGTCGGAACCGCGGCTGTTTGGCAAACAGACGTAGGGAATATAATTATTTACCATCTTGTAACCTAAGCGAATATTGCTACATTCGTACGCCAAATTGGACATATCGACTTAATGTGACCAATCTATTTCCTTCGGCAACTATATCTCAGACAATCATGTACAAACATTCATACCGAGAGCTGATCAGCAAGCTCCCAGTCTCTCAAAAAGATGTCGACTACTTCGCTAAGATGCCGTTTGCCCGCCCTTACTTGGATAAGTCTAGTTCCTACCAGCCGGTACCTTTCGTCACGAGATACGATAAAGGAGACTTGTCCGACAAATTCTTCAACAAAGCGATCAACTCGATCGACACTATTCCACGGGTCTTAGCTTTAATGCGAAAGGAATATCCCCTACAAAACCTACCAACTACCGAAGGCTCTGACCAATCGCAAGGCCTAGAGGAGCCACATTTTGTTGCCTTTTGCCAACTTGAATCGGGGGTGAGCGGCTACATCAACACCACCCATGGAGGAGTTCTGGCAGCTTTGTTAGACGAGACACTTGGTCTTTGCGCCGAGACCTACCGCATTTTCGTCTCAGATAAAGATGAGCATCTACTTACGGCTAGACTCGAGGTCTCCTACCACTCCCCCGTGCCTACTCCGAGTGTAATCGTCATCAAAACATGGGTGAAGAGGAAGAAAGATAGGAAATGGTTCCTTGAGGCACATATTCTGGACCATGAAGGTTCACTGAAAGCGACGGCGAAATCTCTCTATATCCGGCTACAATCTCCCTTGTAGAAATAGCACTTCAAATGCTAAGCTTGGCCACAAAGCGCGGCTTGACCAGTCATCCTTACTTCTCCTTACCAATTGTAGGATGTAGAATCTTAGAAGAAGTCACACAGCTCAGCTTTTGCTCCCTAAACTAGTCAAGATTGTGAATACAGCTTCGAGCGGCGTGGTGTCGACTAAAGTCACCTGAAAGGACAAAAACCCTAAAGCCTAACCAGCCTGAATTACTTCAGAAATAGCTTTCAGTACTAGATCTGCCGATACTTCTTCGGGAGTATGAACAGATACCAGTGAAATATAGAGAAAAATGTGAGTCTGCCACTCGTGCGTCATGACCGTGGTCAGCGTTGAGTCAGAGTGATCACAAGTAACTATCAGAGATATACACTCTAAATTCTTCTGCCGTAATAACTAGGCATCTAATTTGGCACACCTGACTTAAATATTGAGCAGCCCACATGTTTCGTAACTCCGTCTGGTATCGACTTCAATGATGGGAAGATATCGACCAAAGGTGTTTTCATTGCCGTCGTCTCTACTGTCCCTACTATCTCTAGGATCCACGTTAGAGTGATGGGTGTTTATTTGAAGGAAATTTTGATCCGCTCGCGGATGGTAGGGATCCGCCATTATCCATGCTAGTAATCACAGTGGTGATGTGGTCAGCTGTCAATCTACACTGGAGGCGCTCACTTCTTCTGTCAGTTTCTCGCTGGCCAGATCCTGAAAGTATTATTCAAATCCATCTGTCACGAGACACTAAAACCCTCGTGGATAGATAGAAGACGCCAGAAAGGACCAATGATATTCCCGTAAACAACTGCATCGGGACGTAACCAGTTCCACCCTCATCACTGAGCAGCTGTCCAGCGATCGGTCCAGTGCCTAAGACTGCAAATGACGTAACCGTGATACCGATCCCTTTTGAATCACATTATTTTCAACTGAAGATTTTGGGTCAAACAAGAGCCATAGAATCACTTACCATTCCAAGATCCAATTACCTCTGGCGACGGTGCCAGGAGAGATAAACATGGTGAAAATATGGCTTGAAGAGCACCGGACAAGATGCCGTACACTACAGCCCACACAATGATTCCTCCAATGTGTTGTGCAACAATCCACGTGAAGGCGACCACCGCGCATGCAAATGTGGTCACTGTGAGAGAATTAAAAAACCCCCATCCGGAGTCTGCTATAATTCCCAAGACATAGCATCCCAAAAACGCGCCGCCATTCAGGATTGCTGCGGTGTAGAAAGAGAGACTCGCAGAAGCACCGCATTGCATTGCATAAGGAGTGATGTAAAACTGTGATTGAAGGGAAGATCGTTAGTCAACTAAGGATACTTGATATATTCCTGCCACTCACCCACGGGATATAAATCCCTAAATCCATGATGGCCAATGCGATGGTGAACATGATAGTCCTTTTATCGGTAAAATATTTTCTCACGGGGAGCACATCGAATTCTGAGATCCGGGGAAATCGCGGCTGGACTAATAGAGTGGCAGCAATCATCAAACCTAGCTGCATAAAGCCAATGATGCGTAGCGTCCAGCCCAATGACACTCCATCATAATTAAGGAGCATATCTGTCATTACAGGCCAAATTATTCCTGGTTTGGAGATAGTAAGATTATTCCGAAATCTTGTACAAACCAGCCAGATACATACCTCCCACGTTTTGGCCCGACATGACGGCACCAACAACGAAGCCGCGTCTTTTCAAAAACCATTGTGACTGGATTGCTAGAGCTGGTGTAAAGATCAAGCCCATACCCAATGCCTCGCAAAATCCCTGGGATAATAGGAACTGATAGTACTTCGTCGAAATAGAAGCCATCATGGTGCCAAGAACCATAAAAAAGGTTCCCACCCCAAGGGGCAAGGCTGGCCCATACTTGTCAGACAACCTACCGGCCCAAATCCCAAAGAAAAAGCAACCCCAGAGCTGCACACTTCCAATCCAGGCAATATTAGAAGGATCCGATGAGGCCAGCGTCGTTGTAACGTAGTAGCTCTGGAATATAGAGCCACCGCTCATGAAACCAATGCTGGCAATGAATGCTAGAAACCCACCAAGAGCGGTACGCCAAGCTTTGACACCACCATCTGGATATTGTACATCGTCTTGGAGGGGAAGTTCTGAAAGGCTGCCGTTGGTCTCATTCAACTCAAGATGTTGGCTCTCCGCAAGCGACTGGTCGGCATCCTGACTCTTGGAGATGGCCATTTATTTTGTTGAATTCAAACAAGCTGCAACAACCAACAATGCGTTTATCCCTAACTCTAATTCCTTGGGGTTTTAGCTGTCCTTTTATTGTTAAGTTCAGTGGGGGGTACGGCATGCCACTGCATTACGGCATTAGTGCCGCTCAGAAGTCAATATACAGCGCATGGGGTCTAGATACTAGTCAACATAGGGCTCGGACCTATGAGGCAGCAACACGACGCGAATAGGAAATGATAAGACTCGTAGGTTGAATATCTACGGTCCATGTACCCCGCAATTGGCTAAATTAATCTTCCTAAAAACTTTAATGGGCCACATGGTTTTCTTAACATTTCCCGATGATAACTTGGCCATAAATGCCGCGTTTCCCCGGAGCCGCGGGTCCCATGATTATACTTTCCGCGTCGCTTTGGCTGGCTCGAATCTACCCGGACCATTGAGCTCTAGACCAAATCGTGCTGTTCTGCTGAAGTTCACGCTCCCATGCTAATGTAGCAATTATCTGGGGCTAGCGAGTTGTTTTCAGCAACGCGTAATTTTCACATTTGAGACATGAAGATATATATCTCGTTCATACTTATATCGTTCCTCCTATACTTCGATATAGAAGATTGGAAATACTATATAGATACAGTCAACTCCCGCTTATGGCACGCCCGGAATTAGCACACATCGGGTTATGGCACACATACTTCGTGGACGGACCCACTTTTCCCCCTTTTCTCATATATATAGACCACTTATGGCACACTCAGTTATAGCACACAGTTTTTCTCTCCTATATCTGCTTAGTCATATTGCTTGACCAATCACGATGGAAAGTTCAGTCGCCCTTTCGGCCAAGATGCCTACCATAAGGCGAGGTAGGAAGGGCACATCTGACGCTCAGAAACAGGCTCTACGCGTCTACGCATCCGAAACACACCCTACACCTTCTCAGCGAGCCTGCGTTGAGTGGTTTCGGTCCCAGTTTGGTCGCCTAATTGATCGGGCTACTGTCTCAAAGATCCTTTCATCCAAATACCAGCATCTTGATGCTAGACCTCGCTTTGGGTCGGGTTTAGGTCCAACTTCAGGACCCGTACCCGCGGGTCGGGTTCATACCTAATACCCAAAACCCATACCCGTAGACCCGTGGGTTCTTAGCGGGTAGCCCGCGGTTACCCGCTAAGAACCCGTTTCAGCATAAATATCCTAATTAGTTTATGCCAAGGCGCACAAAACTGCTGATTAACCTTAATAAAAATACTGTTATTTACATCTGTTCCAGTCACCTCTGTGGTTCTAACTAATAAAACCCTCTTTTCTCTATGAAAGATTAAGAAATTAGCTGGTTTTCTTCTTAATCAATAGTATTAATATTATATATTTTGCTTTGACGACTGTATAATATTATTGTGGTTTTAAAAACTAATATAGAGCAAAACTCTGTCGTTAGAAGTGCGGAAATATATTATAAACTATAGAGTAAAGTACGTATATTTTTGTAAGGACAATATAGAATTCTAATGTCTCTTTAATCCTACGACTTACGAGGGATTATTCGGTCTTAAAACAATTAGCGTATATTTATTAATCTATACGTCAACCAATCGAGTGCTCTTTTATCTTATTTAGGTTATTAATTGCGAAAAAGTAGATGGATTTTACCTTGATTAAAGACTTAGAACGAAATTATTTAAGGAAAACGGGTTACCTACGGGTTACCCACGGGTTTATAGGTTCTTGGCGGGTAACCCGCGGGTTACCTATCCTATATATAGGCTATAAGCTAATAATAATAGCTTTTATCTACCTATGTGGGCCTTTGTTAATATATCATCTTTCTTACTTCAGAAGAATAGGGTATTGCGAGGCCCTAGAATCTACGTTTACGCGTTAAGATTTTTTTGTAAGTCTTCTGAGTCTCTGACTATCCTTAGCTAAGTGCTCGTTAATTAGTATATTACTAGATATCTTAATTCACTAATACCTCCGTATTATCTTCGTATGATATAGACCTTCCAGATAACTTTTAACTCCTCCGATCGGACGATCTAACCCCTAATCTATCGATTAGCTAACGAAACTTCCCTTTTATCGCGAGCTCTATAGGCGATTCTAGTTTTATTCGATTAGGATCACCTTCGTCCCCGGTGCCTAGTTCCCTCGAGAGCGTTCGACCTAATCGTATCACTATATACGTGGTCTACTCTAAAATAATAAGCGACGACTATATGTAATAGTGGCTATAAACGGACTTCGGAAGGAAGAAGCGTATACGCTAGGACTCGCGACACTCTTCCGACATTTAGGACTACTTTAATTAGGTGGCTAGGGCTAGTGATAGCGCGCTAAAGGTTATATATAAGTATTATAAGGCTATCCTTAATCACCTAGGGCTTAGAAATAGAACTTTAACGATAAAGAAATATACTACTAGCTATAGTAGGAAGCTAAAATACCAAAATATTAGGTAATTTATATAAGCGGTAAGCTAGCCCGTTAGTCTATAGGCTATAGGATATACACTAATTTCGACTACTTCTATAGGCGCGGAGCCTTTTAGTCGATACTCTATTTAGCTAGGAAAAATAGGAATTAAGTCTTCTTCGATTTATTACTAAATCGAGGCTACTATTCTAGCTTCTAGAGTATCTAGGGTTCCGTAATATAATATCTATAGCCCAAAATGCCCTAAGGTAGCTTAATATTCTATCTATAAAGGTAGTACGGAGCCGGCTATAAAGTATAATGCTCGAACGCTATTAGAATATACTACAGAAGCTCC